GCCCCCGTCGAATGAGCTCGCTCCGCTCGGTTCCGCCTGCCCTGTTGGTTTCCGCCTCGAGTAGGTGTGGACCGGTCCAGCCGGCTCAAGTGCCGGCCTAACATCATCATCATTGAAAGTTTTAGTGGGTTAGGAGACAAGGGAAGGGGATTCATTTCTAAAATGCTCACTAAACTGTGCATTATGCTTGAAGAATCTATCAACTCTGATGAAAAAGGGGAGCAAAAGTCTAAAGAGTACTACAAGATATGACATAGAATACAAATGTGTAAAAAAGGAAAACATAAATATAATGATACATGGAGTCCTGAAATTGGGAATTCATTGGATACAATTGCTTTTATGCTAATATCTTGCTGTTATTTGTCAACATTATATGATAAAACGTTCCCAAAATTTAGTAGAAAGTGAAGAAGTTCTAAGATAGAGAGAGAATTGGACATCGAGTGGTACAACTTATTCCAAAACTAAGAAAATGAATCCAATATGAATTTTACTTGTGCTAGGGTATTCTCAAAATCAATACACTATGACGTGAAGTAGGAAATGATTTACTGCGATGTCATCCTAAGCAGCATGTGCAACTTAAACTGACTATAGTGATAAATATGCATGGATCCAAAGTGGCACACTACAACTTAATATAATTTTGGTGAAAAATGAGGGGTTGACGTGGGTTAAACTTAAGATTAAATTTATTTGAATTTTGGGACTTTAGATGGGAAAACAATTGAATTGATGTACATAATGATTATAAGAAGAATATATTTTACTTTTTTACAAGAAATAATATACAAAAGAGAAAATCTAAAAGCATTTGGGAAGATTATTACTCATTATATGTTGAAGTTGTTACTAATAAAAATGAGGTGGAGATAGTAATGAAAAAGTTGTTGATATGAAGATAGCTAATAACAAGATGATTACTATTAAGATAATTATCAATGAGGACAAGACAAATGTGATTAGTGCTTATGCTTCATCAATTTGATTAAAAAATAATTAAAAATAATTTTAAAAAGATATAGATGAAATATTATAGCATATTTGAGAAAGAAAGAATATTTATTAAAAATGATTTAAATGTGCATGCATGTTCTATTAAGTTGGGGCCGTTGGGCTATGAGAGGTAGATCTTCACGTTTGATTTGTTTGAACCTTAGTCTAGTTGAAAACTTCGGTGAAGCCAATCTTTGGGAATAAGGAAAGTTTATAGTTTGGCTCTTGGCCCTGTGGGTTCCCATCCTTCAATGGTCTTTAATTTCGCCGAGAAGTGATTTAACATTATTTCTATAGCTTTAAATTAAGTTAATTTTGAAATAGCTTTGTTATAAATAATGTAACCTTAACATTATTTCTATAGCTTTAAATTAAGTTAATTTTGAAATAGCTTTGTTATAAATAATGTAACCAACCATCTAATATAATGAACCATTTGTGTTACTATAGATTTTTGATTAAATAGAAGCTCAACATGCTAGTCAAATATTAAAAAAAAAAAAAACATGAGTACATTTTTATATATTGAAATTCATTGTCATCGTCTCCATTCAATATTTATTGACCTATTATTGCTCGAACTATTTACATTGGGTGATCACTTAGCCATTCTTCAAGTAAATTACTTTATCTTGTGTTTAGCTTCTTGTTATTATCAATTGTTGTAGACTTGTAGTCACCTGATCCTATGATATGGCATCCATAGAAAAAAATGATAGAAACACTCATTTATGATGATCATAGCCATCTGAAAATGTGCAAAATCCATTGAAAAATGTTTAAAATCAATTGGAAAAATAGCTTTCAGACGAATTTCCGACTAACAAATGTTCGTTGGTAAAACACGCGTCCGAAAACAAATACCGGCAAAAAAATCCATTGGAAATATTTCCGACAAATTATTTCTAGGAAAATTGCTGTTAGAAAAATTAAAAAATTACTTAAATTCTTCCGGAGTTGTTGCCTGTCGGCACGCTTGACCTCCCGCAACACACTCACTTGCCAACCCATAGCTCGCTTCTCGTCTGACCTAGCCAGCCCGCCCGCCTGCAGCTTGGGCTTTCCTGCAATCGACCAGCCCGTGGCGCCTCCAGTGAGCTTTGAATCCAACTCCCTCAGAGATCCATTGCTAAACCATCAGGCTACGGGGAAAAATCTGTTATAAATGTTACTCTTTTTCATTTATATTCGTCGGAAAGCTACCGAAAATCTATCAGAAATAAATCCGTAGGAAATCTCATAAAAAATCCAGTTGGAAATCCGCCAGAAAATCAGTTGGAATTTCTGATGGATTTATTTCCGCCGAAAATTAACGTTTTTCCTGTAGTAGAAAAGCCTTGAACTTTACATATTCAGGCATAAATTCTCTATTATTCTCAACTAGTTGGTGATTTAAAGATCATCAAAATTAATTTTACCATATAGGTTTCAAGTTTCAACCATAAATGTTTTACGGAACCTTGTAATAAATGTAAATGAAATCTTCAGCTAGGATAGGGAAAACTAAAATATGTCAATTTGATTTGCCTTCATCTTTGTGAAAAAGATAAACCTTTGTATGGTGGTTGTCCGCTTCATTGTTTCTCACATGATGATGAGAGTGCCAAAAGCATAACTTCTCTTATCTTCCATTTGTTGGGGCCCACATGAGAACATATGCACTTCTTGTGATCTATTTTCCTTTTGTTCATGCCTTTTGTCTGGCTTGAGAAGGATCCGTTGAACTGGCCCAAATACCATTCTTCTTATTTGTCATTTTAGGGATTTGAAGGGGCTAATTGGTGAAGGAATAGGTGCTCCTTGATGCATAGGAGTTTTAAGTTTAGGTTTGAATTGCAAAGAATGAAAACCATACGTCTGATGGAACCGGTGCTTAAATATTGGATGAGAAGAAATTGGTGATTGGAGGATACATGGGCATAGGCACTTGTGCAAGATAATGAAAAATGATGGGGCTCAATTGTTGATTGGATTCCAATGTCTCTATATAACCAAACAAAATTCTGGAAACCAAAAAAATTATCTTAGCAGAATTGAGAACACCATTCTGTATCTATATAGAAACAGGGATGGGAATGCGAATAAATTTTAAAAGGTATCTTGTGGTAACATCACTGGCGCTGTATATGAAATGGGAATGTTGCTATATTCTCATGCACAGTCTTAAAACAGGGAGCATTGCTGGCCTGAGTGGCTTAGTTCAAGTGGATGATGGCCAGGGAAGTAGCTCATAAATTTCTAACTTTTTTCACTTATCACACGTCCTTTAGTGTTATATGTATGATTTTAGCAAATGCATTGCAAGTCAGCTAAAGATGTTTTCCTATCCCTTTTATGCACGGAGAAATGTAAAGGTTTTCAAGTTGTGATATTTTTACTTGAAGGTCGTCGTGTGTAAGAGTATCCTTTATGTCACAATCTCTGCAAAATTATTTATCATGTAGACCTCCCATTACCTTATGTAAGACTGAAAATATTGGTTTGGTTCCCCGAACATAACTTTTTGTGTAATATATCCTTTCCCATCCAAAAATATTTTATCTTAGTTTAGTTTCTATTTATTCTTACTATTTAACTTTCCATCATGACCATAACATGTGTTCTACTAGCATACCCATTCAAATATTCACTTCTAATTGCATTTTTGCCATTGTTAAAAATGATATCTCTGGTTAGGTTCATTGGACGTTTCCATACTTAAAAGCTTTCATGAGGTAGTTTGTGTTCTAGCTGGGATTTACATCCTCTAATTCTGTACTGCATGATTATGCAATAAATTAAAGGTTGCATTTCTCATCGGGACAGTTATGGTTGTTTCCTAAATTGAAAAGAAAAGCTAACGTTTTAATATTAAACTGATAGGGATGCAATTCTGTCAACCCCAGCTGTTTCTGCTGTGATTCGAAAACATAAGGTAGCATATAGAATTTCTGGATCTCTCCATGCATTCTTGATACTGCTATGGAAATCGTTGATTTTTTTGGGTCTTAATTTAACGCCCTGACAGGCTAATGGCGGTTTCATAATGAGCGCAAGCCACAATCCTGGTGGGCCAGACTATGATTGGGGTATAAAGGTGATTTGCTCCATGCTACTAAACTTTTTTGTTTCTCTCTCTAAAAGAGGCTCTCAACTTTCAATCCAAAGGATTTCGATAACAGAAACTTTTCAGCTTTGCATCCATCTTCGAACATTTTACTTTTTGAATACATAAAAACTACTGCTCTTCAAATATCTATGTGGATTCCCATGCCGTTTGCTTCTTTCATATTTTCAACTCTTGCTAATACTTTCATTTTTATCAGTTTAATTACAGCAGCGGACAACCTGCGCCAGAGTCTATCACGGACAAAATTTTTGGGAACACACTTTCTGTGAGTTACTCGAGGTCTATGAATTTCAATATTATATTTCATTTTCTACTGAAGTAACTTTGTCTTAAGGAAAAAAAAAAGAAGAAGATTGAATAGTGTTGTTATTCTCAGTAGAGGATGAGTTCGAAGAAAATAGATAGGGATGAGACGAGAAAATTTAAAGAATGCATGTTGACAGCTAGGAATTATGTATAAACTGATCGGATTAGGGGATGGGGGGACTCTTTTTATTAATAATAGGCAAAGCAAATTGAAATGGATTAAATATGTTAAAACAAATAGAAGGCATACCTGTAGTATGATAAGAGCAACTTATTAATTTGGAAGTGCAGGGTAGGACAAATTTTTGGCCAAAGATAATGCAGTTCGATGCTGTAGCAAAATATTTAGCTATATTTGAATTAAAGACACACATAATATAAATAGAAACCATGGTGAAGAAGGATCCCGAATCGTTTGGATGTCGTAGATGCTTTGCTGTTCTCATAAACTGTTCCTTCAATATATTATCATCTCCACATCTAAACCTAGAAATTGATAAATGACTCAACTTATTGAATCCATTAAACTCTTAGGTAAATTGATGCTCATACGGTGAATGTGTTGGACCCGGTTTGCAGGCAGAGCTTGGACCCGTGCGGGTCTACAGGCGGAGAAAACCAAGGGGGGGTGGGGGTTGGGGTGGGGGGTGGGGGTTGGGGGGGGTGGGGTGGGGGGGGGGGGGGGTCGGTGATTGTGCTGGAAGCAGGGACTTTTCCATTCTTAAGTGGGGTAATTTGGGGGATGGGTAGGGGTTTTTTTTTGATATGGGTAGTAAGGAGCCTCTAGGGGTTAGTTTTTTGGGGGATTAGTGAAAAGTATAGGTTTCTTTTCTAGTTTTTCTTTCCTCATGTCTTCTCTTTGTGCTTTTCTAGGGTTTTCCTTTGTAGTATCTTGTCCTTCTCGAAGTGGACAAATTATCTTGTTTTCTTCTTGGCTTGCTAATGTCATAAGTTTTCCGAATGTGCTTACTCTACCTTTTTTTTATTGTGATATTCTCATTTGGTGTTGGTGGAAGAGAAGTTCATCTCTCCTTGGAGGGGAAATTAGGTTGCTTAAACCTGCATCAATTGTTGTAAACTCTAAGTGTTCGTAATCAAGTTGGTAATCAGTAGCTTTGATCCTTAGATCGTGCAATTTGCCGTCAAAGAAAGTGGAATTTTGGATGGTGATGAGATGGTGCCTAATTTGAAAGAGGGGTGAGGTGGTGATGATTAACTCTAGTTGTCGATGAGGAAATATTTTCATACCTAGATGGAAGATTTGGGGGAAGGAAAGACGAGTTATCCTGGAAATTGCTTAGAAGCATCATAGTTGTCCATCAAACCCTAAGGAAAAAGGGAAATTTCTCCGGGTGACGACCAAATACTCTCTAACCCCTAAATTTCCAATCTAAGGGATATGGTAAGTAATCAGAGTGAAGATGGCATGCAAGTGTGGCAATGGCCAAGGGGAAGTAGTGAGAAGGGTTTCTGGAGTATTTGTGTGGCTTGGGGATATGACTGGTGGTCAGGTGGCCGTGCATTATCATTGGCCTCGGTGGCCCCCCACTGGCACACGTGAAGGGTGGCCGAATCAATGGGGGGGTTTTCCTGTTTGAAAGGAAATGTGCCACGTGGGAGCAGGGAGGCAAGATTAGGGAAGACTATGTAGTCTATTGGGCTATGGATGAGCCAAGTAGCACCACACATTCGAGGTGGGTTGTCATAAAATCACTTTACCCGTGGAGAGGAGGGAAGAACCACAAGGGGTAGGGAGGTGGTTTACTTTCAGTGGAGTTGATCCATTGGAGAAGATATGGAGAGAATCTTTCTCACCGAGCTGACAGAACGTCGCATGAGGAAGTGGTTGAAGATTCATTATTTTTTTGAAGGGGAAGATGGCTGTACGATGGATTTATACAGGGTGGTAGCGCTATTTTTGCATGGTGAATGGTTGTCACATAAGAGGAAGAAGTTGCATGTCGATTCCGGTATGTTTGGAAGGGAATCGGCATTGCCTGGTTATCTAATGGCTTGATTAAGGGAGTTACAACTTACGTTTATTTGGTTATTGGGAGGTAGATTACAAAGACCCTTCTACTACTTGGTGCATCAGAGTTTCAGGGTGGGTTGTTCCTAGGGCGGGTACACATTTAATTTTAGCAGGGTTGGTGGTCGTCTAGTGCGGAGGGCACAGTTTGGCAGAATATTTATTTGTTGATGCAGCACTTTGAACTTATTCTGTCAGGCAGGAGATTTCGAGGGATTCAGATGGACTTTTTGGAGGGAATTTTTATTGATTAGGTTTTTGAAGCCCCACATCAAGAGCTAGCCATTCAGGTCGTTGCTCCACAGGGATTGGAGTGAAGATCAGGAGATCTGCGGATCAGCTTGTAGGAGGCAAACTGAAGGTGGATGTCCTTTGTACCTGAGGAGGTATCAGTGGGTGTCTACCCACTTACGATCACCACTCATGATGTGAGGCCCAAATTTGGTTCGTGATACCATCCTTTCCTTCTGTCTAGGTGAGATAAATTCAAGTGAGAAACGCTCTACTACTGCAGGTAACCTTAAGGAGGGTTTTCAGAATTTAAACTGATTCAAGTAGCTGAAATAAGAAAAGGGGCAAGGGCCTTTGTCTACTTGATTGTATGAGAAGTTTACACCCGGGCATATGTGTAAAGGAGAAGTTCACTTACATGTAATTAGTGGGGTTGGGATTCTGAGGAGGAGGGAAGATTATTACAGGGTTGGTCAACTGGAGGAGGAGGAGGAAGAGGAGGATTGCCAGCGCCTCATATTGGTCTATGGTGGTGAGGGTTTCTTGACTCAACTCAAATGGCTTAGGTCTGGACATCTTACACTCACTATTGTAATGTTTCTGGTAAGGGGAGATTGCAGGGTTATCATTTAGGTGATTGGTTCTTGTAGTTGATAGTTTTGGGCCATCCAAACTTTCATTGTTCTTGTGAGTATTAGTTGATGAGGGTGGGGGTTTGTTGTGCTACCAGTGACACATGGGAGAGGGTGCTGTAGTCCATTTTGGGACACGGGTGGGAAAGGAAGGGGAGCGCTGTAGCGGACAGTTGTAAGGAGTGAGCTTGTAACATTGCCTAAGGAACGGAAGACAGTTTGTCAACGACTTTCCTATCTATTTTTGGATTTTGGTGTTATAGTTCTTACTTGACGTGATATCTTTGGTGATGTCAGTGGCTCCATGTCCTTTGGGGGAGATGAAGGTGAATTTGGAAGAATTTTATTTTAACATGTGCAGTTATTGGGAAGTGGGGAGTGCAGGAGAGTAGATCACTATAAGGAGAAGCCTCTAGTTGTAAGCTATGATGACACTGAGTGAGCCTTGAAGTTTCCATCTTCACGAACTTTTGAGAGATGATTTGGGAGGGGCTATGTGATAGAGTGATCAGCAGGTTGGCATGGATGGTAGATAAGATGAGCCGAGAGTTTCATACTTGAGTGTGTCCCAGATCTCTACACTACACTCTACAGTGTGTTTCAGAATTGCCTGCAGGGCTACCTCCTACTTCATGATCCGAGGGAGCCAGAGTGACTATTGTGTTGGGAAGTGTACTGGGTGTTAGGGCACCCATCAGCGTGCACCCTTACAGATATATCTCTATGCTCAGGGTTTTAATTTGGAGGATGATTGAGAGGTGTAAGCAGAGATGATGGATGGCGTCTAGGTAAGATGTTCCTTAGCCGAGTTGGTGGGAGGCTCATTTTTCCTGTTTTCAGCTTGTACTTCGTTGTTAATTATGGTTAAGTAAAGACGCGGGTAGTTTGTGTGTGCGATTTTTTGTGTTGACTTTATTCTTGGCCCTTAACAAAGAGAACTGAGTTGGGTTTTGGACAAATTTTTCTCATTTCTCGTGTGTAGGAGTTTTAGGTCTTTTGGTGGATGAGCTTGGGGGTATTGCCACCAATACTTCTTCCGTGTGGATTCTCTGTAAATCTGGTTATCACCAGATTGGATGAGAGACTAAGACGTTCAGTTTTTTATAAGACGGCATTATTCCGAACACATGAGGGTCATTTAATGAGTGTTCTTTAAGTGCATTTTTGCCATTTTCGGGCTCACTAACTGCTGTCTCCTCTGTTTTTCTACTCTTCCACGTCTCTCTTGATGAATTAGGCTTCCATCTGCCCTACGTTTGTATGGAGGTTCTTGGTTTATGTTGGTTTTTTGATGATACATTTGGGTGTATTAGTCAAATCTCTGTTCAGGCACCTATTTCACTCATCTGGGTGGTACTGGTCACCGACTTATTGGAGCATCGCTTATGTATGCCAACACAGAAGAAGTTGGTTCTTTTTCGTCTCTATTAAGGTTAGGTGGAAAGTCTGGGACACAATCATTTCAGGGAGTGGGGTGGCTGGCTGATCCACTCAAGATCGATGCCTGATCGTGTGAATATTGTGCCTACACCAATAATCACTTAAATGGCTATCTGGTGGATTTTTTGGGAACTTTTACTTGGGTTACTACATGGGGAATTTAGTCTATTTGGGCTATATATTGTGTTTCCATATTTGTTTCAGTTTTCCTTCTTTGACTGATCAAGATCTTTATAAGAAGGATATACTTTCGCAAGGGTTGGGGAGAGAAGTTGTCATGTAGGAAGCATGAATGACTCTGAGGAAGTTCGGATTGACAGTTGCTTGCCATGTGTTGCAGTCTCATTCCATGATGTTTTTCAACGCCAGCAATTTGTGGTTTGAGAAACTTGGTGACGCTTCAGGAGTTGGGATTTGGAGCGTGCTCGAGATGCAGAATTCATAGGCCGATTTTTTTGCTTTCTTCAGCAGGATCTGTATCAATCTTAGTATGCGAGGTTGAGGTCTGTTTATGAGCGGCGAACTGATGGCCATTGTGTATTGGGCCATTCAAAAATGCGGGCCTGATCTATGTGGGGCACACGAATTCATAGTTGGTAACTGAAATCAGAGAGCCTCAAGTACTTCTAGGCAGGAGGTTGGTGGGTCGGAGGATTACTTATGCAGGGTGGGCATAGCAAGATTGCTCCTTTGGGATCACTTTACGATTTTTTTATTTTAATCTCCTGATCGACGTTTGAGATTCAGCTTTATAAGCCCCAGTTTTGTCTTGGTGGATTTTGGGTTTTTTTCGAGCTCTATACTACTAAGGTTTTGCGGCAGATGCTACCTTGAGCTCCCACGTGTAGAGTGTCTTCACAGCTGATGGCACATGCCTTTGTGCCAGTGCTGTATTTGGTTGAATTGGTTGTTTTTGGTGAAAGTGGTGAAGATAAATCAAACTTTATTGCCGAGAGTTAAAGAGAATCCGCGGGGCGGCTATCCAGAAGGGAGAAGGAGGGTTAAAGGGTATCACCTAAGAGAAACTCTCGTTTAATTATAACCAGATTAGGTAGGAGTTTAGGTACTACACCGTGACTCAGCATTTGTCCCCTTCCTTCTACGGGGAGAACCCCGATAGCATGTAATTGTGGACATTCGGGGGTGGAGAAAACATATTTCGGTTGGTCGGGTGAATTAGCCTGAATTTTTTGGAACAGGGTTAAGAGGAGATGTTCGAAGACATGGTAAGCAATGTGAATGATTTGTCAACGGAACAAGTATCAGCTGTGCCCCTAGTGGTTTGCTGCAGCCCTTGGTGCTTCCAAACAAGATTTGGGTAGGAAAGTCACATGGATTTCATTGAGGGTTACCCAAGTAGGAAGGATATTTACGTACATCAATGGTGGTAGTTGACCGTCTTGAGCAAGTATAGGGCCATTTCATTCCACTACGGCATCCTTTTTTAGCTCCTATGTGGCATCTACTTTTCATCAGAGTTAGGTGGTTCGGAATTTGCATGGGGTTCCCCACTTCTTCATTGTCTCGGATAAAGGGACAAATCTTCTTGATTCATTTTTGGAAAGAGATCTTCAAGATGCAGGCACATTCTTGAACGGATACACATACCACCCACAACAGACGGACAGTCCGAGGTGGTGAAACCGGGTGTGGAGACTTACTTGAGATGCTTCGTTGGATAGAAAAGGCCTACAAAGCAGTGGGTCCCAAAATGGCTTCCATGAGAATATTGGTACAACACTTGTTTCCCATACTGGCATCTCAATTCCACACCTTTTAGATTCTTTATGGAAGAGATCCACCACGTTGTGAATTATCAGAAGGGGACTGGACCCCGTATATCTAGTGGATCAATACTTGGACTGAGAAGGATAGGGTGTTTGGTTGGGGAAGTTGGGGAACACAATATTGATGTTGGCCCAACAGATCATGAAGACTAACGGCGGATGCCTCACAGCAAGGACTGTGACATTTGAGGTTTTTGGAGATATTGGGTTGATACTTAAAGTTAAGCGCCTTACAGAACATGAAGACTTAAGCTAGCAGAAAGGGAGTGAAAGCTCTCTCCACGATACTTGGGCCTTTCGAGATGAAAGGAAAGTGGTATGTGTGGCCTACCGTCTCACTCAAGTTACCTCCTCATTCTCCATCCACCCTGGTATTCCACGCATCATTATTGAAGAAGAAGCATAGGGGAATTTTTCATACTGTGGCTTTATCCTACTATAACCCAGGCCTCCACAGAATTAGATATGTCGATTCTTACCTAGATTTAACTAAATGTTGAAGGAAGTGAGGAAGAAATGATCAAGGCGAAAGGCAGATTCTCATCGAGTGGAAGGACTTACCGACACATGAGGCTACTTGGGGGACATGTAACGAAACATAGCAGCGACAGTTTCCAGACTTCAACCTGAGGAACAAGTTGATCTTCTAGAAGGGCGGTAATTGTTTTTTTGGACCCGGTTTGCAGTGCAGAGCCTAGACCGTGCGGGTCTCAGCAGGCGGAGAAAAACCAGGGTGGGGTTGGGGGGCGTGGATTTGGCTGGAAGAGGGACCTTTCACTTATTAGGTGGAGTTGGGTTTATTTTGGGGATGGTGAGGGGCTTTTTTGAATGTGGTATGAATGGAGCCCCTCTAGGTTTTAATTTTTGGGTATCTATGAAAAGTATATTCTCTTTCTAGTTTTCTTCCTCTAGTATTGCCTCTTTGTTGCTTTTCTTAGGGTTTTCTTTTGGAGATATCTGTCCTTCTCGAAGTTGACAAACTTATCTTGTTTTCTTCTTGGCCTTGCATAATGCCAAAAGTTCTTCATTTTGTTCTTTACTCTACCGGCTTTTTTTTTTGTGATTATTTGTCAATTTGGTGTTGTTGGAGAAGTTCAGCTCTCTTGGAGGGGAAATTAGGGCAAAAACGCCTATTTGTGAAACCTAAGGCGTATCAGAATGATCAGGATAATCCCTATAGTTTCTCTGATCTCCTGCTTACATCAAATTTTATAATTCTGATAGGACTTGAACACCAAAAATCAGCGAACAAGCAGTAATTTTTAGCAACCCAATAGATTTTTATTGATAAGAAAAGAAATACGAACAAACAAGATACAATAATATCCTCTTTCGAGAGGAGGGCCTTTTCTCCCAAATTCTAGATGCTATTAGAATTCCTCAAAAAATATTGGACAACAAACACTCACAAAATTATGCATGCAGAACATCCCCTAACCCTAGGGTAACTCAACCACTTAAAGCAAACAATAAACAACAAATACCCAAACACCCTCCCCCAATTCCCTCCCAAATCTGCCATATTTTCTTAATTATTTCCCTCCCAAATCAACTCTCAAATCAGCCCCCAAATATGCCATCTTCAATTAGGAAATATTTCCTAATTAATTCCCTCCAAATCAGCCCCTAAATCTGCTATCTTTAATTAGGACATATTTCCCAATTAATCAGCCACCAAATCTTCCCTCTTCAATTAAGAAACATTTTCTAATTAATTTCCCCCAAAATCATCTCCCAAATATGCCATCTTCAATTAGGAAACATCTCCTAATTAATCCCCTTTGATTATATGACCCTTCCTAAACAACTTCCTCTTATTTAGGAAACCTCATAATTCCCTCCCAACCAAATTGACTGGTCTATCAATACTCCTCTCCCAAAGTGCCACCTTGTTCTCAATGTAGAACGAAAGAAGCTGCTGTTGAAGCATTGGACTAATAGCACTAGACTGAAAAATTGGTGCCTCCTGCATCTCTCTGATCAATCTCTTGATCTTATCCTTCTGTAGTTGGAGAAAATGATACAAACGAACACTGATATGTGAGACTCCCTCATTCAAAATGATAGCGTGCTCGTGTTGATGCCACGTCGATATTTCACTAGGCGCGCCACGTCGGCAACTGGGGGTCCGAACTGGAAAAAAAATTAGGTTAATTTTTAAAAAGGCGACGCCTTAAATATATGAGGCGAGGCGCGCCAGTAAACTTGAGGCGTAAGCCTCATAAACTAAACTTATTGCGTAGGCTTTGAGGCTTAAATGGACGAAATTGCGCTGAGGCGCGCCTTTTATTGCGCAACTTTAAACGTTGCTTTATACCTATATTGGGTTGGCTCAAAATTTCTGGTGCAATGGTACTTTTGATTCATCAAGTGATACTTTCTCATCATAAAAGTTAGATTTCTTTGGTTTCTCTCTCTGAAAAAATATTTCGCTATTTTTGGATTTCTAAACCTAAAGTTCTCTGTTGAACTGCTCTCACCTATAATATTCGAATGTACATGGATCATTGCTTTGGAAATTGCACCCTTATGGTCCTGGTCATATGCACCCATTTTTATAGGAGTTTTTTAGTCAGTAATTTCAAATTCAAATCGTGATCTAATTTTCACTTGAAAATATCCGAAGGAAAAAATGATCCTAATAGATTTTCAAATAAGATTTTATGTCAAATTAAAATCTTTTATTTCTTGGCTTATCCTAATAAGTTATTGGGTAAACATTTTTGTCATATGACGTTTTGAAAAATTTATGTTATATTTCAGTGCATTCATCTTCAATGCCATTTTCATATTCACAAGCATGATCAGTCAGTTTCTTGCTGGAATGATAGAGAGTTCCTGGTCTTTATAGATCAGCTGCTACAGAATTTTCACATTTCCATTTTATCCGGAGGATATTATCCTCGTGTAGATATTTAACCATTCTTTGCTAAACGTTGTGGTTCTGATCCATTAATTGTTTTCCTAATATGCAATTGAGCTTCTTGCAATTTTTTTACTTGAATTTGTTCTGCAGATTTCGGAAATAAAAGTAGCGGATATACCAGATGTTGATTTCTCTTACCTGGGAGTTACAAGCTATGGTAACTTCATCGTTGAGGTGATAGATCCGGTGGCAGACTATCTGGACCTGTTAGAGGTGATAGAACATCGGGGAAATCTTTTTGATCTTTGAAATGTTTTTATATTACCTATATTAAATTCCAAAATAGTGCCCTAACTACTGGCATATGGCCATTTAGTCATGGAGTATCGTATATCATCAATTTAGTCTTTTAACTTTATCAAATTGTTCCTAAATGATTCCTCTTGTAGAAATTGTGATTTAAAATTGATCTCAATTTAATCCATAAGGGATCATCTTGGATTAATTTCATATAATTGAGAGATTAAATTAGTCATATATAAGTAGTCAGGGGCCATAACGTTATATCGTATCTTAGAAAGTTTCTTCCTTTACTTTTGCAGAATGTTTTTGATTTTCAGCTTATGAAAGATCTTCTTTCTAGGCCAGATTTCAGGTATGCTATTCTCATATGGGAATTCTATATATTCACTAGAAAGCCATGTTTCAACAATCAACAATTTGTATTGGACATAATTGCCATAACCTTAGAAAATTTCAATTTACGGCCGTTTGTTAGTTATAACTTTTTTTTTTCCTCATGTAAAATACTAGATCTATCTATACCCGCGGTGATTTTGTTTTAGTTCATATAGCTTTGTTTTACCGAGATTGCTTCTTCTCATTTTGAGTGTAATGAGATACCTGTGTATTCCTTGAAAACTTTTTGATTTGTTCATTGGAAACTATTTTGTTTTCTGGAAAAGCTTTTTGTGATGATAGCTATAAACTCTTGAAGGGGAGAAATAAGCGATTGTTGGTCTAACTAATGTACCTAATCTTGTAGATTTGTATTCGATGCTATGCATGCAGTGACTGGTGCATATGCCAAACCTATATTTGTGGATCGGCTTGGCGCAAATTTGGTTTGATGCTTGATTGCTTATGCTTCTACTCCATTTTGATAAGCAGTTTTTTCATGGTGTTATTGCCTCTAAAATAATTTTTTGACTTCAGGATTGCATATCAAATGGAGTACCTTTGGAAGATTTTGGCCATGGCCATCCAGACCCTAACCTTACGTAAGGAACTTGAAGAATATAATCTCTTTAAGTTTCATTTTTAATATAGCGTCATTTTCCTCATTTATAATGCAACAGGTATGCAAAGGAACTAGTTAGCATAATGTATGGTGAGAATGCACCTGATTTAGGAGCTGCAAGTGATGGTATGTACGGGGCTTCTGAAAATAGAATATTTGGATATTCTTTTAATTTGCATGTTTATGTCTGAAAACCTCTCTCTTTGATAAGTGTTGTTTGCAATCGGACTTGATAATATGCTAGATAAGCCGACCTTACAACAGGAAGGCATATTTCTTGAAAAGATAGAAATCAGATGCCCTTGTTCTTTGAATTAATGGTTTTGATATTATCAGAATTTGGGATTGGTGCTTGGAAATAGAATGCACAATGGAATTCTAGCTTTACAGGAGAATCCTTTAGCGAGCTATTGGGAGAATTCTTTACTTGAGGAATCTTTTAGATGTTACGCAAGTTTTTTTAGCCAAAAATATCCTTGGTATGGTATAGAAGTTATCTTAGAGTCTTCTTAAAATATTGGAAGAAACCAACATTTTTTTTTGTATGCTTGGATATTGACCTTCTAATGTTTGGATGCTTCTTGCATGGTTGGAACTTTGGGAAACCTTAAGGGCTGGCTATCCATCATTGCGTAATACAATTCTGTCTGTCCTTTAGTCTACACTACTTGTTTAGCTGGTCAAACATCTTTTACTTTGTCTGAGTTGGACCAATTTAGGGTTTGGATTCACCCAGATTTTAGCCCAAATGAGAGGCTTTGCTGACAGTAACAGGATCAGTAACGAATTTTTTTTTTTTTTTTAATTTTGTTATTGAATATTGTTGAACAATATTGAAAAGCAATTATGTGTGAAAGTTTCCTGCTGACGCTTTAACCTTGTGAAGGAGTATTAATGTTTGCATCCGAATAATTTATCTGTCCCAGCCATTAGCCCTGTCTCATTAAAGTTGATTTTTCACTGAATTTTAAAAGTGAAGCATTTGTTTTTAATTTTAGCTTGTATTTTGCTTGAATTAAGTTGTTGTATCATTTTCGTTGTGCTTATTGCATTTGTCATGTTATTGCTGGATGAGCATTGGTATATCTGGCATGCCAATCCCTGCATGCTACCTTACTACTTTCTGTTGGCTTTGTTAAACTAAGCCTCTCAGAAGTATTTGTTCTTGTCAGGTGATGGTGACCGTAACATGATTCTTGGGAGAAATTTTTTTGTCACTCCATCAGACTCTGTGGCTATTATTGCAGCTAATGCGAAAGCAGCAATTCCTTACTTTCAGAATGGTCCAAAGGTTTTAAAATATAAATAATCTCTTTAAGTATGAAAATTTGTGCCTTTGTTTTCATACTGTTAACTTATTAAATTGTTAATTTTAAATGTTTTTCACAGGGACTTGCCAGGTCTATGCCTACCAGCGGAGCTCTTGACCGTGTTGCTGCAAAACTGAAGCTTCCCTTCTATGAGGTTTTACTATATTATTTATTGCTGGATGAATAGAAATGCACGAATGATGAGACACATGTATTAAATTATTTATTCTAATTAGCATTGCTTAAACATTTTTCTGAACAGGTTCCTACGGGTTGGAAATTCTTTGGGAACCTGATGGATACTGAGAAGTTGTCTATTTGTGGGGAAGAAAGCTTTGGTACAGGATCAGATCACATCAGGGAGAAGGATGGGATATGGTAAGATCTAAGAATTGCATCATATGTGAAAATTCTAAACAATGTTCCATTTTTTCCTTAAAATTTTATTTGGTTATTTGGCCTTGCGTCTGAATTCGTTGATTAAGAGGGAGTACAGAATCAAAAACTGATTTCTTTCAAGAAATTTATAATGCTTCAACCGCAAATGAATAAACTGCCTGCTATATTGAAGTGGATGAAAAGTTTTCGTTTAGTTTCTTCAAAAAGAGAGGGAGTATCAACAAGAAAGTTGAAAAACCATCATTTTTGACAGAAAGGACATCAGTATCTCGAGACTAAGCAGTCTTAGCATCCGCTGCAAATATCTTGTGTTATTTGCTTGCCCTTGTCATACTTTTCCGTGATACTGCAGTTACAATTCAGCTTTCAAGTACTGCTAGAACAAGCTTTTTGATTATTATAGCTGTCTATCTTAGGGTGAGTTTTGTTAGAATAATATGCTGCTTCATAACGATAATTGTGAAACTTTTGTACAATTTCTCCCAGCTGGGATCTATACTCACATCTTTAGGTGCCACCTCATTGATTTGTGTGTCCCCTATTGCCTGCTCATTAATTAATGGACTTGTAATTTTTCTACGATTATTATTCTTTGATTTTGTATCTTTCTTATTAGAAGCTCTTCTATGATTGCATAAAATGCTACACAAATATTGTAATAAAACAATCAATCAATTCTATCTGATTATTATCATGGTATCAGAGCTTTAGGCTTTTTTCTCTTTTGTATTTTCATTATTGCCACATTGATCATTGCACTACCATAGTCATATGCGGACTTTTTTGTTGCACTACCTTCTTTTTCTCTATTTTTATATAATCGCATTCATCGTATTAGCATAAATTGTTCTCAGTTATGGAGCCTTAATTGCTTTATTATCATCTTTCTTTTCATTTTTGTTGTCTTGTGAATAAAACCTCAATGAAAAACTTGCTAATATTCTCACTAAAGTTTTATCAGGAGCATTGTTTAAGAAATTATTAGAAAACTTGGAATGCATGTCATCTATTCACTCGGCTAAGGAGGGAGTGTGAAATACCCGCATGACTTTTTGTTAGTGGAAACCCCCTTGGCCCCTTCCCCACCCCCAACACACATACTAAGACTTCCACCCTTTTTGGAAAGAACTGAATTATTAACATCCTCTATGCTAATTATATTTCTTTCAAATAGCATGAAAATACTTATTAGAGGGAGATAAATATGAAATATCTAAATTATTAAAAAGGTTGATCCTCATTATCAATAATCTCATCAATATTTTTTAAATTCTCGATGACATAATTAAGATAATTAAAACATGATTTTATGGGTGTAGCTTCATGCATGCAAACAAATACAATCTTTACTTTTGATAAAATTTGTTGGAGAGGTTTTTTTTCGTATATAATAACTAGCTTGAGCCACAATCGCTCTGTGGTTGTTTCCTTGAACATCTTTATGAAAATCTTATAGTCCAAACACAATTGCATTACTAAGAAGATTTTTTTGTCCATTTCTATTTTATCTTCTTTTTTAATCTGTGCATTTCTTAATGTCTCATCAGTGCTTTTGCAAGCCACTTTTGAATATAAACACAACGCCTTTTGTTTTTTCAAAGCCTAAACTCTTTGAACTATTGTACTTCTTGATTTCATATCTCATGACCACATATTTCTCATTAATATTTTATACCAATGGTTAGGGAATGTGAAACCAAATGAAATCAAAGTTTAATTTAATACACAGATCATCACATCCATTTTTAACTCGGAAAAACCACTTGATATTCAATAGCAATATATTGTTCAACTATTCAATATAGTTTTAAGTCCAATTCTTTCATCAGCCTTAACAAACTTTGTGGAGAAGTGCCTTTATTGAAAGGATAGGTTTTGATCACTTTATCTGAAGTTTAGTTGCATAATTGGATATCAAATGTATTTAAACATTCAGATAGCTTTTATGAGTTTATTTGTTGAATTTATTTTGCTACAATTCCTGGATATAGGGCTGTTTTGGCTTGGCTTTCTATCATTGCATACCGAAATAAGGGTAAGAAGGTTGGCGAGAAGTTGGTATCAGTAGCAGATGTTGCTAGGGAGCATTGGGCAACCTATGGCAGGAACTTCTTTTCCAGATATGATTATGAGGTACTTATTTAGTCAGTCTTACAGATGATAAATGCTCTTATTTTTAGCAGTTCCCTGTTCTAAACGTTTGACATGTAGAAATCTCATTTTGAACTGCTCTTGCTCTATTTTACCGCTTTACTGAAGTATAAATTTGTTATTGCCAGGTCCCAAGTCCTGGATGAGAAAAGTGGAGGGTTGCGTTAGGTAGTCGACAGCCAGCGTAAAACTTGTCGAACAATAATGACATGAATCCTTTAAGAAATTGTGTTAATGCTAGGGCGTCCCCTGGAAGCGATGCGTTGTATGGCCTGAATACAGTGACAAGTGTGCAAGGGCCGCTGCACCGGCGCCCGGGTGCAGTGTTAAATA